CCGAAAAAAAGGTGCGCGTGGTACTTGAATAAATGCCAAATTGAGCTGTTTTGGCTGCTGAGTTATCTTGAATTCTTACACTTTCATACCTAAACAAAAAATTATAAAAAAGTGGAAAAACAGACAATTGAAGAGAGAGAGGAAAAAAAACGCACGTGGGTTGGCATGAGGTTTCAATCACTTCTTCCATTGAAACGGGTTATTGCTAAAGAGCATGTGATTGATGCAATTTTCTATTGAACAGCGTTCAATTTTCAGATTTTCAAATGATCCAGGGAATTCCATCAGCATGGGCGTCCGATTCATGTGCTCCATCATAAATCCTCCTTCTCTAGAATTTCTCCCGTCAGTTTGACATTAAGCCTACTTGCACAGAATAAAACTCATCGGATCAAAGAAAAAATAAATTAGTGGTTTTTAGGCAGGAGGTGAATTTTCGTTACACCCAGCAGCAAAGAACGCAATTCCTAAAGAATAAAGGCAAAAACACGAAACTCCGTGGGTTACAATAAAAAATACTGGAAAAACGTCATGGGGTAATTTTATTTTTCTGGCGACTTGACTTATTGTGAGAAAGCTTTAGTATTTTTTTCTTTTTCTTTCAATTGCCTGCATTTCAGCTGGGGAAAAGAACCAGCTCAGAAAAATTGACAAGGGGGAGTTTTAAGAAACGAAATACAACAAGTTTGGTGTATCAGCTCGGCTCGATATTCCTTACGTTTCGAAAATCTTCACATGTTTTCTGTCTAAAAACGGTTCGTATTGAAATAAATAAAAAAAATCACGAGGATTCTACATCAAAACTGTTTTCCTTTCTTAATTAGGAGAAAGGTTATCTTCGAAAAAAATCATTGGTTCCTGAGTCCCGGAATTTTTTTTTTTTTTTTTTAACTGCTGGAAAATCGGTATTCGAGAAATTCCCGGGTCTATTATACTTACAATTGCCAATTTGCATCACACACACAACAAAAGCAGAAAATCCTTTTTTGGGTCACATTAGAGTGCAAAATGTTTGAGCAATGATGGCAGATTTAATGAACGCAAGTCTCGATCGTCAATCAATGCTTGGAAGAAGAAGCAAAAAAAATTTAGCAGATTAAAAAATTAATCTAAAAAACCACATTTTCAAAAAGCAAAAAATAACTGGCCAGGACTGGCCAGGGCCGGGGAGGGGAGGCCACGTTTGGCCGGTTGACCGTGTGACCATCTGGCTTTAGCAAATAGCAATTAAAGTCATATGTAAGTCATACGTTTGTGATTTGAACATTACACCAAAATTAATCCTTAAATGTGGTGCGCATCTATTTCATTTGTATTTCAATTCTTCCCAACAATCTCCATGCACACCACATTTAAGCACCACATTTAATCCTTAAATGTGGTGCGCATCTATTTCATTTGTATTTCAATTCTTCCCAACAATCTCCATGCGCACCACATTTAAGAATTAATTTTGGTATAATGTTCAAATCACAAACATATGACTTTAATCGCTATTTGCTAAAGCCAGATGGTCACACGGTCAACCGGCCAAACGTGGCCTCCCCTCCCTGGCCCTGGCCAGTCCTGGCCGGTTATTTTTTGCTTTTTGAAAACGTGGTTTTTTAGATAGAAGTGAGCGAAATTTGAGTTGCAAAATTTGATCCAGACAGACAAACAGACAAGAAAGCGAGTTAAGAAAAACGTGGTAAAATAATTGATAATTGCTCTAATTTATGGTGTTCATTGTCTCCATCACACGGCATATTTCAACGTTTCTTTCGTGGTGAAAAACGCATTTTGTATAAGAACACAAGCACGAAAATCCCCGAGTAAAACGAAAAAATACTGGAAAAACGTCACGAGGCGATGTTTTATTCTTCTGTGAAAGATACTGGAGCAATACTGCTTCAGTACAACTTTTTTTTTTATTTCTCTTGAGTGAATTTCAACCGATGCTTCAGAAGAGGGGGGGGGTGTCGAATAAACGAAGAAAGAAAACGTTCGCGAACGTCAGAGCTTTCGCCTGCTTCAGTCAGTCTATAAGCTAGGTGATGGAATTTCCAAAGTAAAAGTCGAGTTTTGTTTTTTGGTCCAAGAAAACTTCTCTGTAGAATTGCTGGATAATTCTCCAGTTTTTTCCTTTCCATCATCTTACTGTTGGTGAATTTCTTCCATACATCAGCATAGTTCAGAAAAATGACGTCGTTTGTCCTTGTGTGGATGATGATGACGTTGGCTGTGATGTCGACATCAGCGTCTCTGTCGAATCATGCGACGCATCAGGTGAGCATTTTTCAACAATAATAAAACACAGATGGTATGAATTTTAGAGGTTGTTTTTGGGACCGACGATTTCGCCGCAGTTTTTCTGTAATTTCTGGTGTTTCTTTTTTTTGCCATAAACCCAAGGTGTGTCGGAAAAATTGATTACTGCCTCATACTGGATAAAGTACTGAAAAAAAGGACGGTTGCGCGTCGTAAATTTTTGTGTGTGGCAAATTCGCGGTTCAAAGAGACCCAAAACGTCCAGAACACGAACCATTAATTTTTCCTATAAAAGGCGAAGAATTCGAATTAGTTGAAAACCATTGTCTCACCTGAAATAAGGTGTCTTAAAAAACATTAATCATGACTTCGAAGATATATTTAATTCAGATGCTAATTCTTCATTCCTTCTTTATTGGACTGAAAAAAACAAAGGCCACTTGATGAAAGAATTCGTTGAGAAAATCATCAAAGTGTCTTCAAATATTCTTTTGCTGTCATTGGCCATCATAGAGACCACTCCGTAAATCTGGCTGGGGACGGGTTCTGACTGCGGAAGACAAAGACTCCTCGTTTATTGTTGAAATCGTGGCCATTTTAGATGATGGTATTCAAATCGCCGATCCTGGTTGCCTCATATCAGAAAGGTGAGACATCGACATTTTTATTTTTACCGTTCATTAAATCTGGAGTGGGGAGCTATTTTTGCTGTGACCCCACAGTAGGTGCACACCAGGGTCANTTTTTGCTGTGACCCCACAGTAGGTGCACACCAGGGTCACAACTGGAGCATATGGGATATTCTGGGGGCACAAGTGTGCACTCCTGTAGAGGAAATTTTGCTACCATTCCAGGGTTACACTTGGTACCAGGGGTGTTAATCGCAGTTTGAAAACTGCCAGCGCAATTGCAGGCGCAAACTGGTGAAAATACCACAATCCCAATTGAGAAAGCAGTTCCGAAAAAATGAAAATTTTCCGCACCCTTCGCAAGTCATACAGATTCAAATGGTTCACTGCACATGCAACTGAAACACAAACTCGACATTTTTTTCTGCAATCGCAATATGTGGTGCAAGATTTTTTTTGTTGCTGCAATGATGAGCCAAAGAAAAAATTCAAAAATCACAGACAACCTGCATTTGGAATCAGAATCCTGCATTGCTGTATAATATTGTAATTGGACTGTTTCCCCCTTTGTCTTCTCCAATTATTTTGTATATTGAGTATTTTAGAACACTTTCTTGCAAAACTGTAGCCACTGGAGGGGCATAGATATTCATGGAATGTACAAAACTCACTTTTATTTTTCATGCATGAAAAAGAGGTATTCCCTTTATAAAAAAGAAGTATCCTGTTGTCAAAAGATTTTTGAATTTGCTTTGGTCATCAAATTTGTACTGCAAAAATGAACATTTTCAGAATAAATTTCTGCAAAAATTATGAAAAATTTCATGCAAAATTTGCAGATTTTCAAAGCTCTGCTGACACCTTGCATGCTTTTCCCTGCAATTTGATTCACTTATGACAGCATTTTCTGCAGTTTTCTCTGGCTCACATTCCCCAATAAACAATTTCTACAATGCCTGATATTCAAGTTATTCATCTTAGCTGGACATTTATAGCTGACTTTATTTGAATTTAGTCCAGTTGTAAAAGTCTCTTCCTCCTTTTTAGTAATTTTCATAAGTTTAAAATTTAGGAAGATTGAGAGAAATGGGTTCATTCTTCTGCCATTAAATTTTTGGGTGGCAATCTTTTTGCCAGATATCAATTTGCTGAAAATTCCCCAACAAAATGTAAGTACCTTTTTGGACGTTTCAAGCTTGAAAAGGTTCCAAACACTTTTTCCTGTTTTCATGCAACTTGCTATTTCATTTATTAGGTGTGTCTTGTTTTCTATTTCATTCCCCATTACAATGACCTTTCTCAAGGAAAAAATTGGTAATAAAGTTGAAAAGGGGGAAGGATGAGCATTTTCAAAGGAAAGGGGAAGTTGGAGTCAGGAGGAGGTATGCAGGATGCCCCATACTGGTTTTCTTGACTTCATCAGTGCTTGACATCCTGACTGAGTATCAAGTATCTGCCCCACCAGATGTTTAAAGCAGAAGGGAAATAATGGAGAAATATAAAAGGAAAATAGAGACATATACAGTTCCTACAATAGTAAAATAATAATTTTCAGACAAAAAGGCCAAAGGGGGGGGGGTGGGGGCTGTAGAAACATTCAAGAAGGTTTCCACTTCAGAAAAGGGATCAGAAAAACAAGTTGTTTGTAACTTCAGGAATCCGAGTATTTATTTATTTATTAAAAAGTCAGTCCAACTCTTCTATCAGGCGGAGATAGAAGAGTGGTGTTCTAATTGATTTGTGCCTCACTTTTAATTCTCTCCCGCCTCAAAAGCTGTGGCTGGCTGTTTGAATTTTGTTTTTCCGATGTCGAACTCCCCTCGGATCTTTCTACAGCTGCCCCACAAAAAAAAACTCTTCTATTTTTCTGTCCTGCTTTGAACAGCTGGTGGGGAAGATATTTGATACTTAAAAAGGATCACAAGCACTGCAGGAAAAAAAAAATCAGGATGGCTATGGTATTCCACCTCCTGACTCCAACTTCCCCTTTTCTCCAGAAACACCCCTCACCCTTCCACTTTTTCAACTTTATTTTCAATGTTTCCTATGGAGTAAAGGGCAATGTCTCTTGGAATTGAACAAAAAAGAAGAGGAAGTCATGGAAGTAAGGAACTTATTGAACTTATCAATAGGAATTGTTTTGGGGAAGAAAATGGGGAATCCTTTTTTCTTCCAGCAAAAACAAAATAGAAGGTACAAATCACAAGTCTTTGCACATTTTTCTTCCCGCAAGCACACAGAAACGCAAACACCACCCTCCATCAATTCTGGCAATTGGTGCCTTACTTTTCCTGACACCCTTCCCCTCCCGCACATGCTGTTGCAATGAGTTTTGCTTGCGACGCAATTGCGATTGCGGCAACTTGCGTCGCAATTAACACCCCTGGTGCCTTCCCCA